ACCACACTATTCTACATACACTATATTAATATTTCTACTACTCACCGGTTAATTAGGACAATACGAACAAAACAATCACAGACAACACAGAAAAAATTGTAAAGCCTTGCACAAAATTGCCAAAAAGTAATCAATAATCTAGATAACGAAAAAGCACGTGTGACAACCAATCACTCTGACAGCAGAATCTCCCTTTTTTACTCTTTTACATACATACATACATACATAAAATCAGGGGGTAGGCAGAGACCACTTCCTTCCACTTGCTACGATCCTTACATACTTGTTTCGCTTCGTCCACTTTCATTATTCTCTTCATACATGTTCTACGGTTTAGGGTGCTCTTGACCTGATCTTTTTTCAAGACGTCCCTGATTTGGTCTTGAAATGTCCGCCTAGGTCTACCCCTTCCAGCACTTTAATTCATACTCGCCTTATACACTTTTTTCGTCAATCGTTCTTCATTCATTCTCTCGACATGGCCAAACCATCTCAGCTCTTTTACTCTTTTATTCTCAGTAATTTTGAATAATATTCTTCTGTCTGGAATCCATATTATCAAACACATATAAATAGGTTAGAACGAGTGCAAAAAAAAATTCCTTAAGTACCTTTATTTCAGTAATAACAAAATACACAGGCAATTAACTTACATATAGATAATTATAATATGATTTCATTAAATGATAGAAGAGCCAAAAACACAACGACACTTGTACACCTCACACTCCCAAGTCTACTTTTAGTTTACTTCAAAACCAACTGCAACTATAAACGAGTGATAAGTGATCTAGTTTTTGGTCATCAGCATATGAAATTAGTATATTAATTATCATATCATATTAATTAAAATGTAATAATTATCATCAGCATATTAATTTGAATAGGTTATTTTGTTATCCTTCTTTGTTTTTCAACATTAATGTGCAATACTTATTATTTTACTTTAACATGTTAACCCTTTTGCTGTCCAGTGCAGACATGGCCCACCATGTCATGTCATTGTAATGTAACACTGAATGAAAAGATGTATATTGTGATTTTACTTTCTTTTATAAAATTGAAGCGACAAACAAGCTTACAGTCCACCTGATAGTAAGTGGCTACTGCAGTCTATATATGCCTGCTTCGAGCAAAGAAGACTACAGAATGCGTTTGTTAGCTGTAATAACTAAGATGATGGTCCTTCCCTGGTCGAGTCAATCCACTTGTGCTTCACCTCGATGCCACAACGTAGCTATTCCATGTAAAGCGTAAACACGAAATTACCTTATTATATTATGTTATAATGTATGTATTTATCAAGTATATAATTATATCTATCTCGTGTATATTTATCGATGCTTGACCATTTTAAAAGGAAATGCATTTAAAAAAATGTGTTGTTCAGGAAGAATATAAAATAATATAAATAGAACCTTTTCAGTTTCATAATTTTATATAAATTGCTAGTACCTATTGTGCATTATTAAATAATATTATTTTGTTAAAATTGGAATTTTAAAACAAAAGCAATTCGAATGTTATTATGGAAGGGTGCTGTAAACAAACTGAGATGAGAGCGCAAGTGTAAACACCACGCTCGCGTTCCTCGCAAGGCCCTTTGCCTCGTTCCTAAAAAAACTGCCTAGACGCGAGCGCCGCGAGTGGCGAGGCGAGCTGCGAGGCGAGCTACGAGCTAGAGTTTACACTCGCACCTCATGGCTCGCCTCGCGACTCGCCTCGCCGCTCGCGCTAGAGTGTAAACGGGCTATTATGTTTTTCTGGTGTCCAATAAAGTATATTTCATTCATTCATATATTCATTACCTCAAACACGTGTTACTATGGAATAGGGGAGAGTGGGGCAAGACGGGGTGCGGGGCAAGACGGGGTGCGGGGCAAGACGGAGTGACCGATCTTGAGCGCGAACGAAATAGCCAATCAGGATCGTTTTAGCAGCTGACGTCGCGCCGCCATTACGGCAATCAGTCATCGAAGTGAGCGCACAAAGACTCCACGCGTTTTATTTGTTTTCTGGAAAAAACTTTTTTGACAAATAGCTAGTGATTTTTCTATACTATATAGGGCGTGTAATTTCCGTAAATAATAACACCTCGGAATTGATTTAAATGGTATCAAATGTGACAATAACTACACTAACAGGTAAGAACTTGTTTTTCTCTGTGCTGCGTATTGGTTTTATTAAGTATTTTTTTAAATTTGATTCGGCATGCGGGGGCAAGATAGGGTCAGTCGGTCGGTCGGGAACCCCATCTTGCCCCTTAGCCTTTGCAAGCGGCGTATAAATGTCTAATTTACTGTGTATTTTGTTCTAGAATGGTGAGAAATTATAAAAAAAAAAAACAAGTAGAGGGGATTGGTCAGAAGAAAGTATGAAAGATGCTGTGAAAAATGTGGTTGAAGGAAAAATTGGCTACAAGCTTGCAGCAAAACCATTTTCTGTCCCACAAACAACTTTAGAAAGAAAAGTGAAGCTTGCGCGAGAAAGTTTAGATAAGAATGATCCAATGACTGTTAAATTTAAGGTACCGTTAGGCCCAAAAGAGAAAGTTTTTACTGATAATGAAGAGGAAGAGCTATGTAAATACATAATAGATATGGAGAGTAGGCTTTATGGACTGACAATGAAAGACTTAAGAGGTTTAGTCTATAGACTAGCGGTAAAAAATAACAAACGTCATCCGTTTAACAATGAAAAAGAAGAAGCCGGGAAAGACTGGGCATTAGGATTTTTAAAAAGGCACCCAGAACTGTCTATTAGACAGCCTGAAAGTACCTCATCCGCACGTGCTGCTGGTTTCAATAAACAGGTGGTAGACCAGTTTTAACATCTGCTGAACGAGGTACGACCATTACAGTAGAAATCTGTTTTAGTGCTAGTGGTAATTTTATGCCACCCATGATGGTATATCCTAGAAAAAGAATGGATCCGCAACTTATGATTAATGCTGCCCCCGGAGCTTGGGGAGTTTGCAGTGATTCGGGCTGGATGACTTCAGAACTTTTCCTAGATTGGTTTAAAATGTTCGTCAAATTTAGCGGAGCAACACCTGAGCATTCTGTTTTGTTATTATTGGATGGACATAGTACTCATACGAAGAACATTGATCTCATAAATGAAGCACGCACTCACGGCGTTATCATTTTATGTTTCCCACCACATACAACTCACCGTCTTCAGGTTGCAGACGTTGCTTACATGAGACCGTTAAGTACCTACTACGATCATCAAATCATGCCGTGGCTTCGCAGCAACCCAGGGATGACTGTCACTGTCCGACAAGTAGCTGAAATTTTTGGAAAGGCGTTCATACAAGCGTCTACGATGTCAACAGCTGTCAATGGTTTTAAGAAATGTGGGATTTGGCCATATGATCCAACAGTATTCTCTGAGACCGACTTTGCTCCATCTTTGATGACAGATATTCAGCTTAATGTATCCGACGCACCTGCAAGCGATAATAGTTCGTTGATAATGGAATCGTCATCCACAGAACCAGCAACAAATAATCAGAATGCGCCAATTATATCTGAAGCCATTTCTGTTGCGGCAACTTTGACGGATGCAGCAGTGACGCCAGTAACAGTGGAAACAGAAACATTGTCGAGACTTGATACTGCCGCTAGTATTTCTGCGAGTACGTCACTATCAACTAATCTGGTTACTGCACTTACTGTGCTACCTAATACAATGTCAACCCCTGAACCAGGATGTTCTTACTGGCTCGATAACTCCGATCTACACGAAGGACCACGAACTCCGCAGCAATCAATATTTGGTGTCGTAAGTCCGCAGCAAATAATGCCCTTTCCAGCAACTACAAAAACATCTCGCTCAACTAGAAAACGAGGAAAAACCGCGGTGATCACATCTTCGCCGTATAAGAATGAGTTAGAAGAAACGATTAAGAAAAAGGAACAAGCGGAAGAGGATAAACAGAGAAAAAAAGGGCTGAGGGAACTTAAAAAATCTGAAAAAGACCCGGCAACTAAGAAGAAAAGAGTAACAAAGAAGAAACAAGGGGCTAAGAATAGATCATTAAACGAGAATAGTGACAGCGATATTGAAAATACACCTTGTTTGTATTGTAAAGGCCTATATTTGGACTCAAATGAAGGCTGGGCTGCTTGTTCAGCATGCGGCAAATGGGCTCACTGCAGCTGTGCAGGTGTGGACGACGAAGATGCAGATACCGTGTTCACTTGTGAACATTGTGAACAGTCCTAAATAGTCGTTTGCTGCGTACCCCATCTTACCCACGGGGTACCCCATCTTACCCTAGGGGTGGGGCATGATGGGGTGAATGGTGTATTTCTACGTTTAATTTTTTTTTTAATTTTATTATGTTGATAAGACTGCCAAATACTCGTTAACAATGAAGACTGATTATCTAAGAAGATTATAAGAATAAAACAAATTAATAAAACTCTTTACGGTCAATTTTATTTAACATCAAACCTTAAGGACCCCGTCTTACCCCACTCTCCCCTACGTGAACTATGTAGTATTATCATGGAATATGAAGTAAACTCTTTAAATCTTCTTGGTGCCTCCTCATGGTGTATGCCTCACATTTTGAAATTGTACTGGCTCTCTACACCTTTAAGAACAGAACACGGCAGTGCAAGCGCTGCTATAAGGCGGCATAAATACGTATAACCTGTCGGAAATATCTGCAAACCTGGCTTGATGACGTCATGCAATATGGAGAGATGGCAACGGTACTGGATAGACGATAACGGGCGGAAATATCTGCGAACCTGGCTTGATGACGTCATGCAATATGGAGAGATGGCAACGGTACTGGATAGACGATAACGGGCGGAGGTGCGGGGAAGCGCGAGGCGAAGCGCATTCCAGCGAGGTTCGCAGATATTTCCGACAGGTTATATGGTGGTACCTACCTGCGCTCCTAGACAAAAGAGGAGTACTACCATCCACTTAGTAAATCCTTTTAATCTATACATATGTGTATATCAATTTTTAATCTCTTTCAGATCTGCTACAAGTCATACGAAAATAAAGACGATTTGATCCGTCACATAAAAACCTGGCACCTTCTCAGCAGCGAAGATGCAGTGCGTGTGGAACGAGAGATTTTCATATGTGACTATTGTTCTATGCTCTTCTTCAACAAATTACTTATACAAACACACCTATTGCTATACCATATGGACGTTGACAAAATCGAAACTTTTACGGAATGTGCAAAATGCCACAGAATATATCGTCTAAGAACAATGTGGTACCATTTTCAAGCTCACTATATTCAAAGTGTGGCTGGCTGTAAAATATGCTTGACGAAATGCAAAAACAGAAAAGATGTCCTCAAACATCTGGAGACACACAGAAAGTTTCTCTTTTGCAATGTTTGTAGATATGAAACTATGCATGAGGAATATTTCAGGGAACACCTTGCGACCCGACATAGGAAAAGTGTTAATAGTTCTAGAAGGAACAATTTCAAATGGAAACCATACTTCTCGCCGAAGACCAGTGACTACATAAACAAATTTAGATTCGTATGTGATACGGCCTCCAAAGGTGTTGATTTGCCACTGCTTGAAGATACTCAACTACACATTTGTATATTCTGTAGGGAGATCTGCTTCGGGGAGCAAAGTGCAAAAGACCATATATGGTATGTTCATCACCAAGCGCTCGAACCTCCCCTAACGTCCAGTCACGTGTGTATATGCGGAGAGAAGTTTGCCTTCAAAGTTTTGCTGAAACAGCATTTGTTTAAAGAAAAATGTGATCGCAAGCAACACAGTAAGTTTTTCTTCTACTTTGTATTTAGCATATAGTAGTTTTTCAAGCGACTTTAAAAAGGAGGTGTTTTACAATACGTCGGAATCTTTGTATTTTTAATGTATGTTCACCGATTACTCAAAGACACTTGAACCGATTTGAGAAATTCTTTTTTATTTCCAAAGGGTATAAATCCCAGGTAGTCCCATTTAAATCTTATCGAAATCGGGCAAGAGTTTTAAAAAAATCTACAATAAATAATATTTATATTGGAATCGGTTGTACAAATTTTTTAATTTTATCATTTGTTATTTATTAACTTTTGTAGTTGACCTGAAAAAAGGAGGTTTACAATTTGACTGTATGTATGTTACGAGATATCTTTGTCTACTGTGAATCTACTTTGATGATTCTTTTATTAAATAGGTTATACTTTGGAAATTTTCCCATAAGAATTTGGAATGGAGGTTAACTTAGTAAAAAGTAAAAGGTGACTTCAAACAACTATAAAATATATAAATAATTTCACAATCAAAAGCAAAAAATTTATGTGTGGTAGAGCCACGCTGCAGCTATATTATGGATGTAGCACGAACGGGTCTGCTAGACCAGGACGGGACCACGTTCTCACAGAATACCAGCTTAAAATAGCAGCTTAACCTTGCTGTGTTTCGTATGCTGAGTGTAGAGAACCGGAGACCCTTTTTACTGGATATGAGGCATTTCATATTAGTCCCTTCAGGAGTGAGAACGCATTTGCGTTTTAATTCTTAATCGAGGATAGGTGTAGATGTCTATAAGTCACAGCATCCACATACCATCATATGGGCTGCGTGCTCACTGGATGTATATGCTACTACTGTAATGGATCCCTCGTTTGTCTGTATTTCATTTGATAAGTCCGCAACTGTGCGTTTGTTTGTGCAAAGGTACTTATTGTGGCATCCCACTTGAAATCTGCTGGTCTGAATATTTTGTTTCTAGCATAAACGAGTAGGCGAAAGCGCCATCGGTGGAACATCACAAGATATTTCGGTTATTTCCCACAGGATACATCAGGTTTCTTTACATAGGTCTTGTAAAAAGCTTACGAGATACATGTGAAGAAACCGTACACCACCACTACAGTGGTGGTGTAAGAATACCCACTATCTCATACCCTTGAATGTCGTAAGAGGCGACATACGGAAACAAACCAGGAGATGGGCAGCAGCATCTTGCTAATAACATCTAAAATTCAAACACTGCAGTTGCCGTTTGTGAAGCATGACAACTGTGACAAATATCCCCCCTATAAGTGAATCTATGGAAGAGGCTTATGTTTAGCGGATTTTTAATAGGCTTTAAAGGTACATGTATGAAAAGTAAATAGTTTGATGATTCCTTTGTCACCTCCACATGATAATACTACCTGGTTAGTATTTCGTTTTGACTGCCTCATTGGTCTTATTGGTGGTAAGGGCGACCCCTGATGAAGTGGTTCTGGATCGGGCTAAGATCAGTTGTTGAGTTTTTCTGTCAAGAAATTCTTAATAGTAGCCCGGAGTCAGGTAGCTGGCGATGCCATCCTGAGCCTGATCTCACTCCGGTCGTGTCCGATTGCTGTCACATCGGACTATGAGAGTGAGGGAATAGAGAGTGCACCTGTGCTTCAGCATACATTATAATAGAATAGTATGGAATCATTTTCATTCAATATAGATTACATAAATACTTATTGAAAGTCATTTAAACTTTACCATTGGTTCGGAAAAAACCTCTGTCCTGGGATAAACCAGCGAGTAACCCAGCGAGTCTTTTTTTAAAAGCATAATTGACATTATAATATTTTCGTCGGGAATATAAAATAAGTTAATTAAACGCGATAAAATCCGTAAATGTAGTTTTATTCAATGTGTAGTGTTTGCGTAAAATATAAGAAATCATTATTATAATACTTTGTATAGTTAGTATCAAAACATTTAGAAACAGCATGGTAGCGATAACACTTGTGCACTATAATTCATGCTCTGTGCAGATGGCTTGTCTCCGTTAGGACTGACCGCTGTAAATTATATATAATATAATAGTTTTTTTTTTTACAGACTCAATAGAGGAAGACACCGATGAGTACTTAATTGTCGTAATGACCGAAGAAGATGATCCTAAAACGATGGTAACGGCTGTAAGCACAGAAACAGTTTGAAAAGAAAAGCTGAAGACCAGAGACGCTGCAACGAGGGCATCCACGACTTTTTCCACCACCAGGGCGGCGCCACTTAAAAATGAGGTGCAATATTTGACAGATTTCATAGCGGGGAAGTTAATTTGGTCGAAAAATGTAAGGTTTAATGCTTCTTTCTGTACAATTACTTATTTTTAATATTAAATAGATTTAAAAATAAATAAACCAAGTTACAGATATTCATAAAAGTAGAAAAATAAAAAAAGAGTTAAAAATTTGCAAAAATTAAAGAGCGAACCACTGACGCATTGTTTTGTGTATTAATATAATACTCTAGAAACTGATAAACTATTATTTAAAACTAGCTTCTCAATAAAATGACATTTTGTAACAAAAAGCTATCACCTCAGTGTCAACTAGCGACATCTGGTGAGCGGAATATTATTAGCCCTAATTAAGTGGCAGTGGCTAAGTTTTACATATCCTTATAACAATAAGCTTGGATATATTAAGTGAGCAATTCTTGTATATAACATTTAACAAAAACTCTGTGGTTCCCTTTAAGTGCTTAATTAAAATGAGTATTCAAAACACAGAAATAACAACTTCAGAAAACACGACCACAAAAAAATAAAATTTAATTTAAATAAGTTTATATTTGTCCGTGGCCATGGTAGTTCAGATGGTTAGCGCTCCCTGTAAATTTCACGGTACGCGAGCAACCCAGGATCGATCCCCGCCGGCACGTTAATTGCAATTGTAAGTGCTGATTTTTACCACTTGCTTGGCGGTGAAGGAAAACATCGTGAGGAAACCTGTGCATGTCTGAGAAATAAGAAAATAAATTTTTGAAGACAAGTGGATTTCGCCAACAAGAAATGGGGCATCGCGGCGGATATTTCCTTGCCCTAAAATCCTCTCGGAAATAAGAATAGGCCTGTGGCCAGCAGTGGGATGTATATATATAGGTTGTAACATTTTTTTTTACTTTAAAATTTTATTTGCAAGTTGTATGTGGTTTTATTACCTCTGTATTGACCGGGGATTAAGAGTATTGTCAAAGCCTCCTTTTCTAATGCGTGTGGATAATACACAATAAATACCAGATTCCTACCGGATTCTAATAATGTACTTAGCGGGAACCACATTGTTTTTGTTACATGTTGTATATTTGTATTTTTATTTTATTTATTTATTAAATTTCGTACAGTATGATGTACGGGCGGACTTAATGTCTGAGGCATTCTATACCGGGACACCTTGGGTTGATGTAGAGATAGGATGAAGTAGGTCTAAAAAAAGTAGATATGAAAATACAAAAGCAAAATAAATACAATTTTTGTAATACATTAAGCACGTTCATATACACTTCTTAAATGGTATATCACAAAAAATATAAAATAATTGTATAAAGCATGCATGTAAGTAAAATAATAAATATTTATAACAGCACGAATGGGTCAGCTCTACCGGAGAGGGACCACACTCTCACAGAATACCAGCGTAAAATAGCAGCTTAATGCTGCTGTGTTTCATATGGTGATTTTATAGAACCAGAGACCCTTTTTACTGGAAACGAAACATCCCATATCTGTCCTCACAGGTGACAACAAATCCTAATTTTGATTCTTAATCAAAAATGTAGATGTCTATTGTCCACAGCATCCACTTATCGTTAGGTGAACTGTGTGCTTGCACCTTTATTCTATAAAAAAATATAGTCACATAAATTTTTATATATTAGATATGTATTTAAATACCATATAAATAAAATATAGATGTATATAACCATATAAATATAAATAAACTGTTTCCAAGATGATTCTGCCAATTTATTGAGTAGGTGTTCCCTCTTATATTGAACTCGTAACGTTGGCTAATTGTCCTGATATCGATATGATTGATGATAAAGAAATCTAACGTCATGCAAAGCTCTGTCGTCCAGGTTCTGAATATATTATAAATAATAATTATGTAGGTCAAACTGCTGGGCACCTTTACTATACGGTTAGCATAATGAAATTATGAGGTTGTTTCTGTGAGTGTTATTTTTAGGCTGGAGAGTTCAATGCCGGCAGACTTTAATGTTATTGCAATTTCTTAGACATTTCAATGATATATACTATACACTAGGAAAGACACCACCGACGACAATACGACACGTGTTTCGCTTCTACACGAGGCATCTTCAGATGATGTAGACTGCGGTGGCTGACCGCAAGTCAGGGTAGCTTAGAGGTCAGCCACCGCAGAGTCTACATCACCTGAAGATGCTTCGTGTAGATGCGAAACACGTGTCGTATTGTCGTCAGTGGCGTGTCTTTCCTAGTGTAGTGGTGTTGGGAGTAGTGGTACTGGGATTAGTGGTGACGGGGATAGTGCACGCAATTGAGGGAGGGCGGGAGGTGCTCTTCAAACTAGGTAAGACACAGGCGTGTCACTTTGTAAAAATCTGAGGTATGGAAAATGGTGGCGCGATTTTCAAATTTGTTCGCATTACTCGTGGGGTATTAAGGTTTAAGAGTTTGCAGTGTATATACTCAACTTATTTATTGAACTATAAGATGTGGGGTATTGAGGTTTAAGGGCTTGCGATTTATTTATATGGGGTTTGTAGTAATATGCGATTTATTTCCTAATTTCAGCTATGGAATTCCATACTTTGAAAAACTTGAGGTATGGAGTGCTCCATACCTTCCATAGTGGAAGTGACACCCCTGGTAAGACACATCATTTTCTGCCGACTTCCAAAAATTAGACGGTACTCAATTCGACGCGTATGTTTTTTTTATATGTGTGTTACCTCATAACTTTTTACTGGGTGGACCGATTTCGATGATTCTTCTTTTGTATGAAAGCTGATACTTCTCGTGTGGTCCCATATGAATTTGATCAAGGTCAGACAAATAGTTTTTGAGTTATATGAGTTATTCTTAATAACTTATATTGAAGTCGGCTGTAAATTTTTTTTAATTTTAAATTATATTTTATCGAGTGGATGTACGCAATCTAATTTTTAGTAACTTTAATTTCAATGATATCCGCATCAAAAATTTTACAAATGCACACACATATAGCATGACGGCTGTAATCCGAGGGGATAGACAGAGTCCAAAGAGCAGCAAGCTACTCGGGCCATGTTTAGCCAAAAAATAATTTCAATAAAATTTGTACGCATTAATATTATACTATTAAACACAAAATAAACGCAATTGATCTTTTTACACAAAATAATTTATAAAGCAGATTCATATGGGGGGATATTTAGAAAATAAAAACACCGTTATTTGTATAATATATTTTTCTGCAGATAAAAAAAAAATTATCTACGTGGTAGAGCCATGCTGCAGGTATATTATGGTTGTAGCACGAATGGGTCGGCTCGACCGGGGAAGGACCACGCTCTCACAGAAAACCAGCGTAAAATAGCAGCTTAACGCTGCTGTGTTTCGTATGGTGAGTGTAGAGAACCGGAGTCCCTTTTTACTGGCAAAGAGGCATTCCATCTTAGTCCTCACGGGTGACAACGCATTTGCATCTTGAGTCTTTATTGAGGATAGATGTAGATGTCTATGGGTCACAGTAACCACTTGCCATCAGGTGGACTGTGTGCTCGTTTGTCACCCTATCCTATAAAAAAAATCATTGAAACATAATTTTTAGAAAAACAATAATTTAAATAAATAAGAACACTACACATTGAATAAAACTACTTTTACGGATTTTATCGCGTTTAATTATCCTTATTTTCTATTGACTTCAAAGAGGAAACGGTACTCAATGCGCCTGTATGTTTTTTTTATGTGTATACTCATAACTTTATTCTGTGTGAACCGATTTCGATTATTCTTTTTTTATTTGAAAGCTGGTGCTTCTCATGTGGTCCCGTATAAAATTAAAAATTTTGTACAGCCGACTTCAATATAAAATATTAAGAATAACTCAAAAACTATTGGTCTGACCTTGATCAAATTCATATTGGACCACATGTGAAGTACCAGCTTTCAAATAAAAAAAGAATCATCGAAATCGCTTAACTCAGTAACACACATAAAAAAACATACAGTCGAATTGAGTACCGTCTCCTTTTTGAAGACGGCACAAAATAAATAAATTCTCAAACCAAATAAAATTTAAATTAAAAAAAAGACAAAAAGAACGAGGCCGTGCATGAGCGCCAGAGAGGCCCATCCTTTCCAGACATAAAGTATTTTAAATTGCGTCTGGAAATGACAGGCCTCTGGCGCTCACCGCTTCCATAATGAACTTTAAAAAATAAAATGAACTTTGATAAAAAATTGGTTCTGTGCGGCGCGGTGTCACCTGCCGTGGCAGTGGATTACGAGATTTTGATCTGTTCGATCAAGTACCGCCGCGGCAGACGGCCCCTCGCGACTTCGTTTTTCACTCGTCTTCAACTTCAATATGCACTTAAATCAATAGAAAATAATATGAATGTCGAAAATCACAATAAAAAAAAATCTAAAACTTTATCATCAACTCCATATAAAAAGTCCTTCATCATCATCATTACAGCCCTTCACAAGTCCACTGCTGAACATAGGCCTCCCCCAAAGAACGCCACAAAGCACGGCCCTGATCCACCTGCATCCATCGACTTCCTGCATGTCTTATCAGGTCGTCACTCCATCTCGTGGGGGGTCGCCCTACACTTCGCCTACCGGTACGAGGCTGCCACTCGAGAACCTTTCTTCCCCATCGGTTGTCGGTTCTTCGAGCTATATGGCCGGCCCACTGCCACTTCAGCTTACTAATCCGTTGGGCTATGTCGGTTACTCTGGTTCTACTGCGGATATCCTCATTCCTAAGTTTATCACGCAGAGAAACTCCGAGCAAAAAGTCCTTAAATAACCCTTAATAGGGCATGGCTAAACTGTGGATGTTTGCAAAAATTTCAACGCTAGTATGTAATTTGTGGTACATACAGATTTAGGATTACATATCAGTATTTTTTACGTGTTTTCAGTTTTTCAGGAAACTATGTGGGAAAATAATTCCTG